CCCACTTCCAATGCCTTGAAAGTCCAGCACCTTGAAGAGCAGCTGGAGAAACAAAAGAAGTCAATCAAAAACAAATGTCCAAAATCAAATACGAAATCAACAATTTAACCAAGAAATTAAAAAACTACGAAGAGAAGCCCCTTTACGGTGGATGCACTCCCTTTGGAGATGCCCCGGGTATTCATAAAATTACTATTAAAGATTCTTTCGATGTACTCTGTGATAGTGCGACAGCAGGTCCTGGCTGGACGGTTATCAAACAGCGAATCAATGGCAAAGAGGACTTCTATAGGGATTGGAAGACATACCGTGTCGGCTTTGGAAACTTTGATGGTGACTTCTTCTTAGGACTTGAAAAGATTCATCGATTGATGAGCGCCCAGCCCCATGAGCTCTACATACATATTGAAGGATTTGATGGTGTCATCAAATACTTCAGATATGAACAATTGCCTGTAGCTGACGAGAACGATAAATACAGACACGCAATCAGACGTGGTGGTGCCTGGTGGTACAAGAGCTGGACAGCAGACTGTATTTTGGTGATGTATCTATTATTGTTAGAATATAGTTTCTTTTAATTGCTTACGGTTTGCTAGCCGCATTTATTTGATTGGGAAGTTAACATTATATGGGATATGCAACACATTTGCAGCTCAAATAGTTTAGCATGCCAAATGCGCCCAACATATACAGAATTGTTTCTATAGCCTTGACTTGAACAATTTTCGTATAGCCGCATTGAGGAATGAGTTTGGGATTCAAACTAGAAAGAAAGTGTAGAGTAAAGCTCGTAAATGCTGAGTTTGTCGAAAATATATCGAAAAACAGAATATTTTGCCATATAAGAACCAACTTTTTGACTGATCCTTGCTATGGAGGCTATTTGATACAGTGGTCCGATGTTGATAGGATTTTGTTTACATATGAGATCTATCGTTCCTATAGCGGCTATATGATATAGTCGTCCGATCCACCCGGTTCCGACATATGTATTGCCATAGAAAAAGGGATGGGCAGACGAAAATGGCTGGATCGACACGGTTTTCGATGCTGATCAAGAATATATATATTTTATAAGGTCAGAGATGCTTCCTTCTCCCTGTTAAATACGTTTACGTGTTTTACATTTTAAAGTATTGCTGCAAAAATACTCGAAATATTAAAATCAAATTTGACTCTTTTAAAATTAGTTCTAATTGTGAAGTTCGAATATATGAAAGACGAGTCTTAGAACATAATTATGATATTATGATATTTTATGGTTAACAGAGTTATACGAATACGAGCAACAACACATTTTTAATGAAAAGATGATTTATAGTGAATACCAAAATCGATTTAATTTTCAAAGATATAAATAAAAAAGTTCATATTTCATACTGTGGCAAATACTCTTATGTTATTGCCCAATCAAGAACATGTTCTAGGAATTTTGTTGCCAAATATTGGGTAAATACATTTTGATGTTGTTTTTTTCTGAAAAGTTGGCTTTTGCTGTTTAATCTCTCGCTCGGCTTGGAGTAAGATAAGTAATGCCCGTTAATACGCATTTATTTATGTTGCCCAAAATTTGAATAAAGTGTTTCGCTCTTAATATACCCATTTCGCTAAGCACCTTGTCAGGGCTGTGGCGGAGAAGGTCGCTTGCTGATTTGGGGGAAATTCAACTGCTTCCGTTGGTGCTTAACGCAACAGCGCTTAGAATACAAAACCCAGGACCCAAGCCCACTCTCACTCGCTCGCCCTCGTACTCGTACCCTACAGCACATTTACTTTTATTTCAGCATTAAAAGTTCAGTCGAGTGGCAAAGGAAGTGAAAACAATTATCTGCAGGAAGGTGAAACATAAATCCTCGCATCCAAAAGTAAATTGCAAATTTTCGTTTATTACTTATTCTATGTGAAACGAATAAACGAGTCAGGCACCCAACCACAACCACAAGATTTGTGTGGTTAAATCGAATCGATATATTTTATGTTATCGAATTTATTATGCAAACACACTCAACGCTAATGCCAATTGGTGTTGAGTTGCCAAAAATGACACACGCGCCCAAAACAGCCGCCCACACAGCCCCGCCCCCGTATCGAGTTGGTCTGGCCCGGCCAGGTGCATGCTTTGGGCATGAGCCAGCTCCAAGAGCTGGATGCCAGCTGGCTGACAGGCATCAACTTGAGAAATTGGAATTGTATAAACAAGCAATTCGAGGATTCTTGCTTGGGCACATTTATGCTGCGCTCTGTTTAGCATTAAGTGCGATTATGGCTGTTGGTATTGATGATGTTTATGGCTTCTGGCTCATTTATCAAATTAAATGGGGACAAAATGCTTTCATCTTCTGCATACAATTGGCCATATTAGCCATAAAGAGCCAAAAGAATTGCCAAAGGTAATAACAATTCGAAAATGTTAATTAATTTCGCATACAGCAAATGAAACGATGGCAATAGCACATGGAATTAAACGAACAACTGTTTATATTTAGGCTAAATACCAAAGAACTACAGTTTGTTATGCGAGGCACCTTAACAAAGATTACTATTAACGTTAAATGTTAATTATTTTAATTGAATTGAATTTAATTATTGGAACAGAACAATAAGAACTACATTGACTGCAATCTGAATATAAGTACAAGTAAATGGATGTGGATAAAATGTTCATTCATTTCAAATTGGAACGGTGGGAATGGAACAGAAAAGGCTAATGCCGCTTAATATACTAGATAGTCCTTTCAGGTTATCGTTAGGGTTTAGCTTAACTTTATTTCGCATTGAAACGATGGGAAAGAAACAGAAAAATAGATTATAAACTGTTTTGCATTACATTTCGCATTGAAACGGTGAGAATGGAACAAATGCTGATTAGTACTCATATCAAATAGTCACGATCTGGCTATCATTAGAGATTTTCTAGGGATTGAAATGATGGGAATGGCGCAAAAAATTAAAAAGTTAAATGAATTATCAATTTCGTACCGGAAACAAGAAACTATTATTTATCTTTTGGCAGAAGAAAACCTGGAAATGATGAAACAACAACGGCAAACAGACAACAATTGGCAAACTGTTTTTTGTAATGCTTTAATATTGAAGAACTACAACTTGGTGTACAAATAGATGGCCACAATCAGGCCGTATAGGCCCAGCACCTCGGAAAAGATCAGTATAAGGATCATGCCCACAAATAGACGCGGCTGCTGGGCTGTTGCACGCACACAGGCATCTCCAACAATGCCAATTGCCACGCCCGCCGCGAGACCGGCTAGGCCGACGGTTAGTCCAGCGCCCAAATGGATGTGAGCCTTTTGTATGGTATATTTCTGGTCTATGGCACCGGATATAAGCACTGCCACAACTAGTCCATAGATTGCTATAATCCCAGCCATGACCACTGGTATTATGGATTTCATGATTAGTTCTGGCTTGGTTATGGCCATGGTGGCAATGCCCGAGCCCGACATTGCCGTGCCATACGAGGCACCCAATGTTGAAAATATGATGGAAAATGCAGCTCCCAAGCTACCGCAGAAGACAGCATAGCTCGGCTTATCGTTTTCACCTAAGGCGGTTGACATGCTCGTTCGATTTTCTAGAAATTTTCTAGGTTTTACAGATTTTTCATTTTTTCAAAGTTTTTGGAATCGTTAACGTTGTCAAATGAAATGCAGCAAAAACAGCCTGGAACAAAACAAATTCACTTTTATAGACGTGCTTCTCCAAGCCTTCTTAGCTGAGAGTGCAACCAGTCAAGTGCAAATAATTTGTATACCGCCGGGGAATAGAGAGTGTAGGGAATTTTGAAGCTATATAAATGTAGATATTGACAAGCCCATAAAGTGTATTTACGCTTCAGCAGTATTTGGATGCGATTTAGCCACGCCCAGTTTTAAATCACGGATCGGACTATATCATATAGCTGCCATAGAAAGAATCGGTCGTAATTAAAGTTTTTATATGCACAACCTTTTAGGCTCAACTTTTCTGCTCCCTCTGCTGCTAAGTCGCAACAAACTATAAGCGTATTTAAACTTCAGCGTGCCATTAGCCGCTCTTTATGAACAGTTTGAAAATGCTTATATTTATGCGCGAGCTGATATACCCCGAATAGATGATAACACAAAGCGTTAAATGTGTGTCTATTATAATATGCAATTTTTGTATTTACATATTTTTTTTTTCAACCTCTTGTTGCTGCTCGGCTGCTAACGAGGTTTATCTTTATGTGCCGTTAAATTTTCCGGCTACCCATATATATACTTTCAGCAAAAACTGTGGAAAATTTATGGCGAAAATCGTGTTAGCGGTTGGGTAAGCTCTACTCCAACCACCGAGTAAGCAAACCGCAAAGCGAATTCTGGCTATTGAAAATCGAAGCTGCGGTTTTTCTATTTTTTTTTTTGTTTTTTTTTTTTTGTTTGCCTTCTTTTTGCATGCTTTGAATGCTTTCAGCATTTCTTTGCTTTTCCGCACTTGTTTCAATTAAACAAATTGGAATATATGAACCCTAGTCGAGGGCTGTGGCGTGTGGGTCTCCTCCAACCCGAGTTCTGGGCGTGAGCTTCAAATGCGCAGCGACAATTTTCTTTGCACAAAACAAAATGGAAATTTGTTTCTGGCACCACTGGGAGCAGGCAATGTTGTGGGGGCGGTGGTTTTTCACTTGCCACTTGCCACTTGCCTCTAGCATGGCATGACAACGACAACAACTCCTCAATCCCTGCACAGAGCATGGCCTGATATAGCAGCTTCATGACATTTTTATTTGTGTGCCCCGTGCCCGGGAATGTTTTGCATTTTGAATATTTTGCGGGCTGAATACCACAGAGGGGGGCTTACTGGGGGTTTTATTACATGGGTTCGCTTCTGTTTTGGTGCTGTTCGCGTCTGATGTGATTGTTAAGTTGTCAGAAGGTGCCACAGATTCGTTGTGCCTGGGAATTTATGCGTAAGGTCACCCCCAGGCTGGTTTCTAGTCACAATGAATGCTCAAACACTTAAAGAGTTAGCTCTCGCTGTCATTGCCACATCATATTTAATACAAGGCAAATTATTTGGTGTACAAATAGATGGCCACAATTAGGCCGTACAGGCCAAGCACCTCGGCAAAGATTAGTATAAGGATCATGCCCACAAATAGACGCGGCTGCTGGGCTGTTCCACGTACGCCGGCATCGCCAACAATGCCAATGGCAAAGCCCGCCGACAGTCCGGCAAAGCCCACAGATAGTCCGGCAGCCAGATGAATGTAGCCCTTCCGTATGGTATATTCGGGTGACAGCGAGCCGGCAATCAGCACCGAGACGACCAGGCCATAGATGGCTATAATGCCAGCCATGACAACGGGTATGATGGACTTCATGATTAGCTCCGGCCGCATCACAGCCATGGCGGCGATGCCCGTGCCGGACTTCGCGGTGCCATATGCTGCGCCCAGGGATGAGAATATGATGGCCGATGCGGCGCCCATGCCACCAAAGAAAAATGCATATGGTGGCTTCTCGTCCTCGTTCTCAGTTTGTTCAGGCATTTCTCTTCACTTTTCGCCTTTGGTAGTTGTTATCTTATGCCAGCTGCGGTTGATTTCTTCTTCAAATTTAAAAGTGAGTTATTAGTTTAAAGAATTTCGGAGCCGCATTAACATGACTTTTGAATGAACTCTTTATTCTCTCGGCTTGCTTAGTCCGTTTTTATTCGAAAGTTTTTGCAGCTGTAAGAGCTAGCAGAAAGACCCCATATAGTATATAGATTCTTGATCTTATCGATTTGTGTAAATGCGTCGATATCGATAAATATCGATCTGAATATATTGATCTGTTGAGCGCAACTCGTATATTATAAGTAGTTAGCCTTACCCTTTTGGCATGGTTCGATGTTTATTTACATTTATTAATTTCTCCTCTGCCATTCATTCACTTTATTTTTAAACGAAGAGCCTTCTGCTTTGCTTTACACATCAAATTGGTTGCCAGCTTTGGTTAAAATTCTGTTTAGAACTCCTCAAACCTTTGCTACTGTCAGTAGAACTTCCATTTTTAAATTTGCAACAAGTCCGACGAGTTGTTGCAACCGACTTTGCCAGAGTTTTACTCTCCCATTTATCGGCTTGGAACATTTCGAATCGTAAAACTGCAATAAAGTCTATAATTTATATAGTTTTTTTTTTTTTTATAGTTCTGCTTTAGACAATAATAAGCAAATCAATATCTGCTTTTGTTGATCCATTGGGCAGCCCTCGCCCAATTCAGCCAGTTGGTGCCAAGATATTCCATTAAAGATTTATGTTGCGCTGGGATTTGGTAGCAAGGAAAACTTGTTTCGTTCCCAGCTTCAGTTCCCTGTTCCTAGTGCTGGTTGGCATTGTTGTTGCTACTGTTGCGTTTTGTGCCGTTTGTGCAACTATAAATCGTTTATGTATTTTGTTGAGTGCGAGGATTTATCGCTGGAGCTGAATATGAGAAAGGAATCACATAAATACAAATAAATCAAAAGCATTTCGAATGGCATTGGCAATACAAACAAGAATTGAAGAGATAAAGAAATATATATATATATATATACAAAAAAAAAAAGAAGAAAATGTGGCCGCTGTAGTAGTTGCTGCCGCTAGGCAAACTGTGCGAAAATTGATGTCTTTGCTCATAAAAATAAGGCATCAAAAGAATCGGCTATGGCCAGGCCCAAGCCTAGGCACAGGCACAGGCTGAATGTGTTTTTGTTGAAAGCAACATTGTAAATTTTATGACTTTTTTATGCGTTGAAATCTATAAATTATGTAAACTGACACTGACAGCTGTCAACTGGCAGGCTCTGAGCGCAACGCTGAAACCGAAACGCTGGCAAGTGACACATGTGTCAAATGGGCTGATGGCAGCGCCTGCGAATTCGCCATGCCAGGGCCCAGCAGCACCCCAGCACAATTGGAATATACCCCATCCCAAGCGCTCGTCTCAAGCTCAAAACTCTGCGATAAAGCGAGGGCAACTGATGACTCGAGATGATTAAATGATTGCCAGCAGCAATAAAAAATTGATGCTTCAAATTATTGCTTATATATATTTTATATATCTACTTTTTTTCTCCCATGAGAAGAACAGCTGAGTTTATGCTATTTGCGTTGCGTCCTTTTATTGCGTTCCACAGTCTTTCATTAGTTCTTAAAATCATTTTTAACTAGAATCGCTCTAATGTGCTTTTAAAGTACATACAACTTATAATATTGCCATTTTCCGAGTTGAGAAATTTGCTTTTCATAAGGCACAAAAACACAGTTTAAACTTAGTTCGAAATATGCTACTAAAACTTTGAACTATTAGAATTAGATTTTGTTTATTTATTTTGCTTAGTACAATAAGTTTTTTGCTTGCTTGCCGATCTTTTATTTATTCTTAAACTTTGAGCTGGTTCGAGCGCGATATTTATTTATTTTTATTTGCCAAAAAGCTAGCTTTTAACTATACAACTTTCCCAAACAAAAAACCAAGCCGAAATCTCGAATCGAAACATTTATATACTTATTTATATTAATGCATACAAATCTTGGGTTCCTAACATTGCTCTTATGCATCCATATTTGGTAGATGCCAAAATTTGAATAGTAAATATATATTTTTAATTAACGACAAGTAAATAAATGCCAACAATCAAATACCCTTCTAGACACTTGCCTTCCCTTTCTGCAGATGCTATATAGTATAGTATGCGACATTGGAAAGATTTCGCTCATATGTAAGTTTTATTGTTAAATGATCTCTCTTGGTCTCTCTTGGGCTTCAAGATATTTTGATAAACAGACAAGTTTTTCATACGAAAAACCAATTTTCGAGCTATCGTTCATAGGGCAGGAATATGATTGTGGTCCGTTGTTGATATATGAGAAGCGTATTGAAACTAAAAAGTCCAGAGTTAGTCCGAAACATGTTGTTACAAAAAAAAATTGTTCACACAAAAAAAACTTATTTTCGACCTATCATTCTTATTGCAGCTTTACGATATAGTGATCTGTTTAAGTCGGTTCCGACATATACATTGCAATGAAGCTAATCGACTAGTTTACATAGAGACAGACAGAGGGACAGAAGAAAATGGGTAGATCGACTCGGCTTGTGATGCTGATCAGGAATATATATATAAGTATTTCATGGGCTCGGAGATGTTTCCTTCTATGCGTTACACATGTTTTGGAAGGGGAAGTTTCTAAACAGACGGATAGACGGATTATAATAACTCGGGCGTTGATGCTGATCTAAAATATAAATACTTTATGGGGTCACAGATTTCCCCTTACACAGTTCATGAAAGAATTATGATACCCCCTAGAGGGTGTACAAAAGTTATATCGTTTCTTTAATATGTTCAAAGTAACTAAGTCTTGGGCTCATTGATGTAGCCCATATCTAAAGGCCCACAGTTGATTCGAGCCGTATCTTATTTGGTTCGCTGTTCTGTTTTCTATATGAAATTATATTTAGAGATTTTTGGCACTTGGCTAACAATGCTCTTTGCTTTATTTACGAAATAGATCCTATTTCTTGTATAACCAAAAATTCAGGTTAACGTCAGTTGCTGAACCCCCTTGACCTGTTTACTAAACAGTTTTCACGTGTTGCCATTAACCTTTCCGTTTTATAAATTGCCTCAGTGCGTTCCCTGCCAAAATGCAATAAATGCTGGCATGGGTTGGATATGGTACGGGTATATGGTATGGTATGCGGGTACACCAAGTGGCGGGCACTAAAATAACAAACGAAGGAAATTAACCAAAAATAAATTAACTGGAAAACCCGGCCAAAAGGGTTTTCATTTACGCTTTGCTGCTGGCATCTGCAAGCAAATGGAGAGGGGGCAAGCAACTGTCGCCGACTGCGACTGCGACTGCGACCGCGACTGCGACCGCGACTGAGACGCTGACTTTGTGTGTGACTTTGGGATTCCCAAATGTGCTTTCGACATGCAATTTTTATTATTGACTCGCGTTGTCGTGTCAGCGCGCAGCTTTTCAGCATTTTCCGCTCGACGAGTCGCAAAAATGCCATTACTGTCAATCAGGAGACGGCAAAAAATCCTGGAATGAAATCAAAAGCATTAAAGCCCTGCTCGCAAGTATGAATGTGTTTATATACAAATAACTATATAAGAGACATGCGACACTAAGAGATACCCTGGACATAAAGCGAAGGCCAAATATTTTATGAAATAATATATTTAAAGCTGGAATTTATTAAAACTAGAAACTATGCAAGTTTGTGTCCAGGCAAAAGCAAGCTAGAGAATTTTCTTATATGAAAAATATGTATATATATATTAATTTTTCTTAAGAAAATTTCGCTTTGGTAATGCGCTGGGAGTGGCAAAACAAGGAGAAGCAAGTCTTTTACTTTTTATTATTTTTTTTTCTTTTTGCTAACTTGATTAAAGAAGAAGCCGAGAAACAGTTCTTGCCCAGGATAAGTTATGTAAGTTTATGATGACAGTTGCAAGTTGCAGGTCCCAGACTAAGACGGGTGCCATTGTAAAATGATTTACTCGCCTCTCGCCTCTCGCCTCCCGCTACTCGCTTCTCACTCATTTGTGGCGTACGAAGCGTTTTGGGCTTCTGCTCCATCTACACCAAAAGACTACTCATTTTTTATGGCTCCGTTCTTTTTTTACGGTCTTTTACAGTTTAACGACGCATTACTGACACACACACACACACACACACACACACAGGCTGCGGCAACCGAGAAATCTATTCATGATTTCGTATAACAAAATACTCTTCACATTTTATCGTATTCATTCTACTCGGTCTTGTCTATTAGGCCTTTTGCTTTTTTGGTTTTTCCGTTTCTTTGGGTTTCGCTTTTTAATTTTTGGGCGTAGCAATTTTCTTGGCATTTTTATGATATGCCATTTCGTCATTCCCATTGTATACCCCCACATATATATCGCACTTTAATTTCGTACTCTGGTTATTTTTGCTGACGGCTTCGTTATTTTTTCACAGCCCAGCATTAAGTAATTTATACAGGCCGTATATTGAAACAATTTCGGCCTAATGGACGTCTTAAAAATGCATTAGATTAATGAAACTGGATTTGTTTTGTTGTGCCTGTCGTATGTCGGTGTACATTGAAAGCAGTTTCCTGCTGGGCTCATGATTTCCTGTCAAATATCAAATAAAACTTAATATGCACTTTTATTTTCAGATAATTGAAATTTTATTGGACAATCAATTAGAAAACGTGTACAAAACCTTCTTCCATACAAATAAATTATATTTTTTGGCCAATTCTTTCTATAGAATAATTTGATAGAGTAGTCAGAAGATTTATATCGATATGTATTGTTCCTTTAGCTATATAACATAGTTAGCCAATCCATGAGCACTTTCGGCAACGGGTCCTGCTGTTTGAAATTGAAGAGAATAAATATACTTTAAAAGTCAGAGACATCTAAGACTAATACTAGTTTATAAAATATTAGAAGTCATTTCAGACTCTCTTGAATGTATACCTTTTCTAAGATTAAATTTGTGTGAATGCTTATAAGGATTCAGCTACTGTAAAATAATGTCCATGCCTGAGCCCTCATTTCGAGACTGAGCCCAGACAGCGATGAGCAGTTGACAAGAGCAAATAAGTCAGCTACTTTATGGGCTACCGGATTAGGGACTTTGGTCTACGAAATGCACAGGTGGCCAACTCAGCATGGGTTTGGTAGCCTAGAAATGTCCTGTCCTTATCACACGGCTTGTCAACATAACTCGAACGGCGAAGCGTGAAGTTGTTGACATTGATTAGGGTGAACTCTGAACTCACCGCCGCCGACGCTTGCACCTTGAACTGAAAGCGTTAAGATAGGTCAAAACCAAGAAACATATATTCTTGTTGAATTATTGCTGCACATTTCTTGGCGATAAGCCGTCGAAATACACCAACGCCCCTTCATCCCCCATGACTGACCCTCGCTGCCATTTGCCTTTTTTTTATTTTTTTTTGTTATTCGGTTTTACATTAAATGCCGTGTCATGGTAGCTGCCCGCTTCTCTGGCCGACGGACACACACATTAGATAAATTAGCCGTAATTATAGGAAAGTCAGCGTAGGGTATTTCACGTTTATCTATGCGTTGGCAACATCTCGTGAGTTTTTGGCGTGTTATCAATGGTTTTTGGCAAAGATAAATTATTCGAATTTATTACACATTTTTTTCAGATATATTCAAGACTGGAAAACAAAGTTTAATTGGACCGAGCTTAATTATATACAAAATTAAAGGCATCTTCAAAAATTTCATTCCATTTTCGTGTAAACTCTTCCGAAACTCTTGAATATGCATCAAATTTGTTTATTTTATTCCCGCTTGCTGGTTTTTGCTAGGTTGATTTTATTAAAAAATGTAAACAAATTTTGTTTGGCATTATAGAAAATTATTTTTATATTGTGACTATAGATATATATTTATTTAT